CACGCAGCCCGGCTCATTGCCTTCCCTCAGGTCCATGGCACGCATGGGCTCGGCGGCGTTTGCATTCTCCAGGTCGCGCTATGGGCCGTTTCTGTCTCTTTTGGATTTCGCACACCCTGATCTCGTGATGCCCTTGCGGTCCCTGATTCGCTTGGGGTTGACCGTCCCAGTGTTAGGCAAGGCGCGCCTCGATGCCTTCTCGCTTGTTCTGGACCTTGCCAAGCTTGAACTAGCGCCTTTGGTGCGCAGCTCCATACGCCCTGGCCTTTTTCTACCAGCTCTTGACTGTGAGCATGTTGAGCCTGCTCTGTTTCTGCGAAGCACTGCATGCCCGGAGCCATCTCCACCTGTCTCTGGCATCACGCGCTGCGGCTCTCAGCTTTTGGCTCTGGACCGCGTGTCCGCGGGGCCTTTGATGTCTCTGAGGTCATTGGGACGGCCGGGCGCCTCCGCCTCTGCCTTCAGCTTGGCTCGGCCGGACCCGCCGCCGCCGGCGCTGGACGTGTCGCAGTTGGGCCCAGCGCCGTCGCCACGCAGCACGTATCGCCCGGGCGCCGTCACGCCCATCTCCGCCTTCACACGGCTGGACCCGCCGGCGTCGGCTTTGGACTGCGCCCACCCGGGCTCCAGCCCGCCACCCCGAAGCCTCGCGCGCCTCGGCCCACCGCTCCCCTCCTCCGGCCATGTACGCTTCGGAGCCAAGGCCTCAACGTTTGACATCATTCGGCTGGGCAGCTGCATGTCAGCCAGGAGTCTCAGCGTCTTTGGACCTTTGATTTTGGTGTTCAGCGTGGCCCGAATGGCTTCTCCCATGCTGGCGCCGGACCACGTGCACTTAGAGCTGCCGCTGTTGCTCCGAAGCTCTGCCTGAACAGGACTGGCGGTTTTCTCGCTGGACTTCCTGACTTTGGGGCCCATGATGCTGCCACGCAGCCTCACCCACCTAGGACCGTTGTCGCCCGTCTTGGGCAAGACGCGTCTTGGGCCGTCGCTTCTGTTGCTGGACTGCGGTCACTTTGGGCCCCCACCACTGATGCGTAGCCCTGCCTGGCCGGGAAGCGCGGTGTTGGCGCTGGACTCCTTGAACCCGGCGTCCATGCTTCTGGTGCGGGCTTCTACTAGCTCGGGCCCTGCTTCCTCGGCATCCAGTCGGAGCAGGCCTGGTTTTCCACTCTCTGCCACGGACTACACCCATCCTGGCTTGGTCATGCTCTTGCAAGGCCTCACTTGGGCGGGCCCTGTGGCGTTTGCCTCCGGAATTACCTGCTCCAACTCTTCACCATTGGCCCCTGATGCAGTTCACCTTGATCTGCCCATTCCTCTTCAGTCGTTTGCCCAAGTCGACAGTGCTCCTTTAGTCCTGGACTTTACTCATCCTGGCCCCACGCTACTGCCGCAGTCTATGTCCCACTCGGGGCCATGCTTCTCTGTCTTTGGATCTACCAGCTCAGGCAGTTTGCTGCTGGTTCTGGATTCCACAAACTCTGAGTTTACCTTGCCACTGCAAAGCTTCGCTTGCTTGGGGCCGACTTTGTCTGTCCTGGACATGGCCAGCTTCGGCTCCCTGTCGTCGTTGCGCAGCCGTTCACGGCCAGGGCTGTCGGTGTCGGTGTTGGATTTCTTGCACCTCGGTTCATCACTGCCAGCACAGACATCTGGCCGCCTGGGCTTCTCGGTGTCTCCCTTCGGCACCGCTTGGCCTGGCCTTCCCGCGCCGGCCCCGGATGCCGCGCAGCCGGGTGCGGCGCCGTCTTCGCGCAGCTGCGCGCGCCTGGGCCCTTCGTCTCCGGCGTCCAGCTGCGGGCGCCCGGGCTCCGCGCCGTCGACTTCGGATCTCGAGAACACGGGGCCGCCTCTGCCGCCGCAGGGCCGCGCACGGCTGGGCTCCATGGCGCCTCCCTCCAGCATCAGCAGGCCAGACCCATCGCTGCCAGTGCTGGACCGTGCCAGCCCCGGCCCCACGCTGCCAACACGTAGTTGTCTCCGCACCGGACCTCAGCCACCAGTCTTTAGCGCAACATGCCCAGAACTGCTCCTGCTGGTTTCGGATTTTGTACACTCCGGATTCCTGGTGTCGCCCAGGAGTTGTGCCTACCTAGGCTTTGCAGCTTCGGCGTCAGACTTCCTCCACCCAGGGTCTGCGCTCTTTGCGCACAGTTACTCACAGGCAGACTTGCCCTCCTTTGCTTTCAGTGCTGTTAGACTTGGCTCACCTTTGTCAGCATGCGACTTCGCGTATCTCGAGAGCTCTTTGTTGCTAAGATCTCCTGCGCGCTTGGATGTTGCTACACTTGTCCTGGACCTCGCAGAGTCGGAGCTGCCGCTATTCTCGAAGTCGTTTGCTTGCCCTGGCTTTTCATCTTCTGTTTGGGGTGTAACCAGGTCGGGCTTGGCCCTGCTGGTCTCTGATTTCGATCACTCGGGCTCCTCGCTGCCGGTTCGATCCCATGCGAGTTCGGGCAGCGCAGCTTCGCTCTTTGGCATTCAGCGTCCTGGCCTGATTCTGCCAGCCTTTGATTGCTCCTATTCGGGATCGCCTCCGTCCCTGCGCAGCCGCGCTTGCTCGGGCCTGGCTCCGCTCACTTTCAGCTCGACGCGCCTCGGGCTGCTGTCTTCGGCCTTTGACTTGGCATCCTTGGGCCCATTCATGTTCTTGCACAGCTTCGGCAACATGGGGTTGCAGTCCTCAGTCTTTGGTCTGCTTTGCTCTGAGCTGTTCATGCCAGTGCCGGACTTCCTACACCTTGGCTTGCTTTTGTTGGTGCAATCGATGGCCCGGCCTGGCTCAAGCTTTGCTGTCTACAGCTCGATACGCTTTGGCTTTGCAACGCTTATCCTAGACTTTCTGCATTCGGGCTTCCGTTCGCTGCTGAGGGGTTACGCTGCTACGGGTGTTCTGTTGCCGGTGTTTGGAGGGCTGCGATCTGGCTCCCTGCTGTTGACTTGTGACGTGACAACCCTCGACCCACCATCACTGTTGCGAAGTGTCTCGTGCCTCGGCCCCACCCCTCCGGCCTTCAGCATTTTCCAGCCGGGCCCATTTCTGCCAGCGATGGATTTCACAGCGCTGGGCTTTTCGATGCCGCTCCACAGCTTGTGCCGCCTTGACTTCTTCCCATTGCCATGTTCCAGGAGCGAGCTGGGCCTTTTGTTGCCAGTGCTTGACCTCTCGCAGCCTGGGTTGTCGCCTCCGCTTCAAAGCCTCATTTGCCTCGGACCGCCGTTGCTGGTGTTCTCTGCTACTCGCTTGGAGCCCTCGACGCCGCTGCCAGACCGCACCCACCCGGGCCCGCCGCCACTGCTGCGTAGCTCCGTTCGCTTGGCACCGGCGACGTTAGCGTCGGATTTCGCGGAGTTGGGTTCGCCGCCGCTGCCCAGGAGCTCCAGCTGTCCCGGGCTGCCGTTCTCGGCCTTTTGTGTCACAAACCCTGGTCTCATGCCGCCAGCGTTCGACCCCTCCAAGCTTGGCTTGATGTTGTCCCTGCAAAGCCGTGCGCAGCCCGGGTCACCAGTGCCGCTGTTCGGCGTGTTGGAGTTGGGCCTGGCCTTGTTTGTGCTGGACCTTCAGCAGTTGGGCTCGCCCGCGCCAACGAGGAGCGCCACCTGCTTGGGCTTCGGCTTTTCGGCGTGGAGCTGCTTCCGCTTGGGTTCGGCTCCACTGGCCCTGGACTGCGCCTGCCTCGGCTTTCCCACAGCTCTGCACGGCCCCACTCGCTTGGGCTCGGTTCTGCCCTCGTCCAGCGCGGGACGCTCAGACCCGCCGACGCCAGCCCCGGACCATGTGAACCCAGGCTCACCGCTGCTGCTGCGAAGCACCACTCGCTTGGACTCGACTCTGCTCATTCTGGACTTCTCCATGTCGGGGCTCACAATGCTGACCAGATCTTTTGCTTGACCCGACCCTTTCATGCTGCTCTTCGGGCTCGGCCGGCTGGGTTTTTCCGTGCCCGCCTCGGGCTTCTCTGCAGCGGGCTCGTTCCTGCCAATCAGATCCCTGGTCCAACCAGGCCTCACACTGTCCACTCCGGATCCTTCGTGCATGGAAGCCCCCTCACTGCTGCAGGATTGCGCGTGTTTGGGATTCAGCCTGCTGGTGTTTGGCTTGACACGCTTTGAGCTGCCCATGCTTGCCTTCGACTACCTGCGGCCAGGATCCTCCACGTTCCTGAGAGGCGCTAGCTGCTTTGATCCCGCCACCTCCGCGTTTGCTTTCACGCATCCGGGTTTTTCCCCGCCACTGCTGGATTTCGCCAACCTTGGCTTGCCTTTGCTTGCGCAAAGCACGTCATGTCCTGGCCTTCCGCCACTGCTCCCGGAGTTTGCACAGCTCGGATCAACCCCACTTATGCAAAGCTGCACAAGGCTTGAGTCTGGATCGTTTGCATTCGGTCTGTCCAAATTTGCATCCGCCCCACCAGCCTTGGACCATTTGACACTTGGTCCACCACTATTGCTGCAAAGCTGTGCTTGCATCGAATCAACGCCGTTGGCGCCAGATCTCCTGCAGCCAGGATTGCTCATGTTGGTGCAAGGGCACAGTTGCGTTGAGCTAGTGTTTTCAGCTTGGGGCATTGCTTGCCTGGATGTGCCCTCGTCGGTGCCTGACATGACCCATTCAGAACCCCTCACGCTTTTGAGGAGCATGTACTGCTTGGGGCCTTCGTTCCTAGTTTCCAGCTTGTCTCGTGTTGACTCACTGCTGCTTGTTCCTGACATGATGTATGCTGACTCATTTTTGTCAATGCGGAGCCACTCTTGATGTGGAAGTTCTGCGTTTGCCTTCGGCATCACCCGCTCTGGCTTCTCGGTGCTTCCGTTGGACCTTCTGCGTCTTGGTTCTACCACGCTGCCGCAGTCGCTCGGCCAACTGGGCTCGGCAATGCTGGCGTCCAGCAACACACGTGCGGGTCCACCGATGTTGACACCTGACTGGACAGGCTCAGGTTTCACTTTGCCCTTGCATAGCGTGGCCCGCCCCGACTTGCCCGTTCCATTGTTTGGCATGTCCTGCGTGGAAGCTTCACTCTCCGCCTGCGGCACGGTGCTTGCAGGCCCAGCACTGCCGCCCAGGAGCCACTGCCGCCCGGGGCCTTTGCTGCTTACGCTTGACCACATGCACGCGGGCTTCGCCATGTCCACCCGGAGCTCCACGCGCACGGGGCCTTTGACGCTGGCCTCCAGCGCAGGTATGCCAGGCCTTTCGCCGCTGCCGTCGGACCTCACGGAGGCGGGGCCCATGTCGCCAGCCCGCAGCCACGCGCGACCGGGCTCCGCCACGCCTTTGTTGGACTCTGCGTACCTGGGCCTCCCCACGCTTCCCCGAAGCTCCTGCTGGCTTGGCCTGACTATGCCACCACCAGGCATCGGGTGGCCAGGCTTTGCCGCATCAACCTTTGGATGCGCTGAGCTCGGATCTGTTCCGTTGGCACGAAGCGCTGTGAGGTATGGCTCATCGTTCTCCCAATTCGGGGTCTTCCGCGCTGGCTCCATGCTGCCCACTTACGATTTCTCATGGCTGGGATTTCCCATGCTGTCGCAAAGCCGTGGTCAACTTGGCCTCTTCTTTTCTATCTTCAGCGCCACTTGCTCAGATCCATCCATGCTTATGTCGGACTTTGCCTTCTCAGGCTTTGCTGTGTTCTTGCAAGGGCTGGCGTGCTCAGGGTTAGCTACCTTTGTCCCAGATTTCACACGGTTGGGTTTGTCGCCACTGATGCAAAGCTCTGTTTGGCTTGGCAGCCATTCCTTGATCTTTGGCACGGCACACTTCGGCAGCATGCTGCCCCTCCTTGATATGGTGAACCCAGACCTGCCTCCGCCAACACAAAGCCTGACAAGATCAGACTCAACAACGCCGTTAGTTGACTGCATGCACACGAGTCTGTTGCTGTCAATGCGATCTCTTGCATGAGCTGAGCCAATTCCGTTGTCGTCTGGAGCGGCGCGATTAGGCCTGCCGATGTTTTTGTTCGGAGCTTGCTACGTAGGACCGCCTCTCCTGCTGAGGAGCCCTGCTCGCCTGGACTCAAGCACGCCTGTGCCCGACTTTGCGCTGTCAGATTCCGCAATGTCACCCCGGAACGCTGCACGTGTTGGCGTGCCATCCTCAGCCTTTGGGGCAACTTACCTGGGCCCTTCACTGTCTTTGCCTGATTCTGTGCACGCAGGCCTCCCTTTGTTTGCGCACAGCTTGGCTAGAATCGAGTCGGTGCTTCCTATCCTGGACTATGTGCATCTTGACTTGGCCATGCTGATGAGGAGTTGCGGCCGTGCAGGATTGGCCGTCCCACTTTTCGGAATTGCCTGCTCAGGGTTTCCCTTACCAGTGTTGGATCATGTGGCCATGGGCTCTTTCCCTCCACTGAGAAGCGCCGCCTGTCTGGGTCTCTCGATGTTGGCCTTTGATTTCTTGTCCCTGGGATCTTTGCCGTTGTCACGCATCCACGCTTGTTCCGGCCTGGCGCTGCCGGCTTTCGGCGCTGTTTGCTTTGACTTTCCCACGCCTCTTCCAGACAGCATGTGTGTTGACCTCTTGATGCCGCTGAGATCCCTGGCATGCCCCGAAGCTTCTCTGCCTTCACCTGACCGCGCTTCAACGGGCTCCTTGCTTTTGCTTCGGAAGAGCGCTCAAATTGGCTCAAGCCTGCTAACTCTCGGCAAGGCTTGGTTCGGGGCGTTCCCGTCAGTTGCAGACCTTGGTCACCCTGGCCTCACTCTGTCGCCCAGGAGCGTAGCTTGCCCAGACTTGGCGTCGCCCGCTTGCGGCATGGCTTGCACGGAGCTCTCCTCGCCTGCACTTGACGCGACCATGGCCGGCCCGTCCTCTCTTTCGCGGAGTTTCGCTCGCCTGGGCCTTGCGACGTTGATTGCGGACATGGTGTCTGCCGGCCCGTTGCTGCCTTTGCACAGCTTGGCGCAGCCCGGGCTCCCGTCGCCAGCCTTTGACTTTCTCAGCCCGGGCAGCAGCGCTTCGCTACGGGGCCTCCACTGCACAGGCTCTGCTCCCTCTGCCTGGGGCTTGGCCCGTTTGGAAGCCTCTATTTTGGTTTCCGACGCGGCGCACGTCGGCCTTCCGTCGCTGACCCGGGGCTTTACAAGGCCTGACCCACTGTTGTCCTTCGCTAGCCTGTGTAACCTTGAGCCATCAGTGCCAGCCTTTGACTTTCTGCACTCAGGGCTGTCGCTGCCACTGCGGAACCCTGGCCACATCGGCTCCTCCTTGCCAGTGACGGGGATGGCACGGATTGAGCTGCCTTTGCTTGTTCCGGACACGGCAAGCCTGGGATCTATGCTGCTGGCTCACAGTTATGCAAGGTTAGACTTGTCCCTGTCAGCCTTTGACTTCCTGATGCCGGGCTCCAGCATGTTGTCGCGAAGCACGAAGCGATCCGGCTTTGCTTCGCCGGTTTTCTCCTTAACGCGCCTTGGGTTCCTGGTTTCATCATTGGACTTTACGCATTCCGAGCCCCCGCCCTTGCCGCGGAGCTTCGCGCGCCCGGGCCCGTCTGCTTCGGCGCCGGACTCCGTGCACGCGGACTCGGCTTCGCCTCCACGGAGCTCGGGGCGCACGAGCTCCGCCGCCTCGGCCTTCGGGTGCAGCCGCCCAGACCCGCCGCCGTCGTCGCCGGATCTCGCCACCTTTGGGCCGCCGCTGCTGGTGAGATCACCCGCACACTCAGGCCCCACCCTGCCGGCCTTGGACCCCTTGCACACAGAGCCCTCCACGTTTTTGAGGGGTCGTGCGCATCCGGACTTGCATATCTCAACCTTTGGCAGGGCGTTTCTGGGCTCTCCCACGCCGCTTCTGGACCATGTGCTTGCTGACCCCGTGTTGTTCGCAAGATCCCCCAGCTGCCTGGGTAGCGCGGCACTTGTGCTGGACCTGGCATACTCAAACCCCCCACTGTCTATGCATAGTTGCGGGTGCCTAGGTTTGGCCGTGCTGCTGTGTGGCTTAGGGCGCTTTGACTCTTCCCTTTTCGCACTGGACCATACAAGTGCCGGCCTGCCCGTGCCTCTGAGATCGCCTGCCCGGCCAGATCCGGCTATCTTGGCATTGGACTCGGTCAACATCGAACCACTTATGCCTGTGCGATCTCACATGCGTTCGGGACCAGCTATGCTGGTGGTGGATATGACCCATGTTGGATTGATGCTGTCACTTCAAAGCTATGCGCGGCTTGGTAGCGTCATGTTGGCCTTTGGCTTGTTCCGTGTGGGCTCCCTCGTGCTTACTTTGGACTGTGCAGGCGTCGGCTTTTTGCCATCAATTCGGACGATGGGGCGTCTTGGCCTTCCTTTGCTTCCGGCTGGCATCGCTCGATTTGACCTCTTTCTGCCAGCCTTGGCCCATGCGCAGGTTGGATTCTCTGCGCTTGCCAGGAGCGTTGCCTGAGTGGATGTGGCAGCTTTTGTCTTGGGATGTCTGGGTGTTGGCCCTTTGCTGCCCTTGCAAGGCTATGCTTGTTTGGAGCTGGCAGCGCCAGCGTGTAGCACGGCTTGCCTTGGTGCCCTTTTGCCGGCGTATGACTTCATCATGTCAGGATCCGCAGTCCCGACCAGATCCGCCTCGCGCATGGCACCCGCGCCGTTCATTTCGGATTTTACCCACATTGGCCTGTCGGTGCTGACACAAAGTTTCGTGCGCGCGGGCTTGTTGCTGTTGCTACTGGATCCTACCAACTTGGACAGCTCCTCGTTCCTGCGGTGCGGCCTCCGGGTTGAATCGGCATTGCCAGTGTTTAGCAGGGCTTGCTTTGACTTTGCCTCGCCCGTGTTTGACTCTCTTCGCCTGGGCTTAACCCCACTGGCTCGCAGCTTTGTCCGCTTTGGCTTTGCCGCTTTGGCCCCTGACTCTGTGAACCTCGGGTCCTTCTCGCTGCTGAGGTCATTTGGTCGCCTGGGTCTTTCGTTGCCCACTCCGGGCTCTGTGGAGGTGAGCTCCTCGCCTTTACCCCGCAGCGCTGCCCGACCTGACCTGATCTCGCCCGCCTTCAGCCGCACGGCCCTCGGCACGCCCACGCCTCTGCCGGACTCCACGTGCCTGGGCTTGTCCCCGTCGCCTCGAAGCGCAGCTCGGCCTGACCTCACACCGCCTTCGCCAGACTCCGGTGATATGGGCCCAAGCTTGCTTGTGAGGTGTACTGCCAGACTCGGATCGACCGCCTTGGTGTTTGGAAGGGCCCGCTTTGGTGACTGGGTGCCAGCCCATGACTTCGCCAACACTGGCCCGCTGCTGCCAGCACGCAGCACGGCACGCCTGGGCAGCATGCCTTTGGCGCTTGACTTTTTGATCTCGGGATCGTCTATGCCACTGCAATCTACCGGCTGTCTTGGCTCGTCGTTCTCGGTCTTTGGCTGCAATAACCCGGGCCCAGTGTTGTCATTGTTCGATCTCTCCAACTCTGACTCAACCTCCTCCGTCAGGTCCATGTCAAAGTCCGAGTCCCTACTCCCAACATACGGTTCAACTTGCGGCACGTTGCTGTTGACTTGTGACCTTGCCAGCTCTGGCCTTTTGCTTTCTGCCCGGAGCCTTACACGCATTGACCTTCATGTGCCATCCTACAATGCAGGTTGCCTAGCTTCCTTGTTGTCCGTGCGAAGCACGGCTAGAATGGACTCGGCATTCTTGTCCTCAGGCTGCTTGCGGCCAGAGCTCTCGACGTCGCTCTTTGACGGCGTCGGTATTGGCTCAACTTTGCCCATGAGAAGCTTCGGCCGCTTCGGCCCAAAGCTGCCAGCCTCCGGTGCTGGCCGCTACGGATCTTCGCTGCCCGCCTGCGACTCTGTGAATGCTGGCCCTACAATGCTGGCCCACAACACCGTTCGCGCGGGTGACGCGCCCTTGGCCTTTGGGCTCGCAAAATTGGGGCCGAGCTTGCTTGTCTGTGACTTCGCCCACTTTGGCCTCTCCACGTTGCCCCAAAGCACAGCCAGCTCCGACTTACCCATGCTGCCCTCCAGCACTACGCGCTTTGGCTTGCCAACCTCGCCCCTTGACTCCATTGATGCAGGCTCCTTCATGCTGCCGCAAAACCGCGCCTGCTTTGGCCCAAAGCTATCTACTTTTGGAGCAGGCTGCTTTGGCCCGAGTTTGCCAGTGTGCGATCCCGTCAACTTGGGATTGATGATGTCTGCGCAAAGCCCAGCGGCACTGGGCTTTACGACACCTGCGTACCAACTGGCAAGGTTTGAGCCCCCGATTTCGGCAGCGGACTTTGCTCTCTTTGGGTCATCGATGCCGACTCGCTGCTACACCAGGTTTGGTGAGCACATCTCCGTGGCGGGCGTTGCTCGCCTGGCCTTGGCAATCAACATGGATGAGCAAGCTCTGCTTGGGAGCTCGTCGTCGGCTACGGCCTACAGCCGCTTGGGTCTCATGCCGTTTTTGTGGGGCATCGGGCGTCTGGGCCTGAGCTTCTCGACCTTCGACTTTGCAAACTGTGCATCCACGTTGCCCCTGCAGCAGTTCGCCTACCCGGGACCGGCAGTGTCTCTGACGGGTTTCACCCGGGCTAGCCCATTTTTGTTGGTCCTGGACTACATCAGCACTGGCTTGTTGGTGCTGCTGCAAAGCTTGGCTCGTCCTGACTCTCCCTTCCCTTCGTTTGATATGCAATGCGCAGGCAGCATGGCGTTGGTGCGATCAATGGCCCGAATGGGCTCTCTTCTCCCCCTCTGGGGTGCTGGGCGTTTGGGTTTGAGCCCTTCAACTCCGGATTGCTGCTCTATTGGCCCAGCCATGTTGGCACGCAGCTCGGCCAGACCAGAGCCCGCAGCCCCTTTGTTTTCTGCTGGACAGTTTGGATCGCCCCTGCTTGCGATGGACCCTACCTCCACGGGCCTGGCGTTGTTGGCCAGATCACTCGGCTGCATGGGTGCCCTGCCGCCCCTACGATCCCCTACTGCGCCGGGCTTGCTGCTGTCCCTCTTCGGCATCAGCAGGGTAGGCTCGTTGGTGCTTATCCCCGACTCCCTGCGCTTGGGCCTGTCACTGTCGCCCCAGAGCCTTGCCATCGGTGGCCCTGCGCCGTTCCTGTTTGGTGCTGGACGGCTTGACTTGGCGCTGCCTGCGCTGGATTCAGCCTCCACTGGCCCGGCCCTGTCTCTGAGATCCGCTGCCTGGTCAGAATCTCCCCTTCCTGTCTCCGGACTTGGGCGGACTGGGCCGCTGCTGCCGGCCTTCGACTGCGCGCATTCCGCTTCCTTGCTGTCTCTGCGTAGCTGCGGTAGGTCAGGTGCTCTGTTGTCGATTTGGGGCTTAGGCCGGCCAGGCTCTAGCTTGCCAGTCGCGGACTACAGCTCCATGGGGCCCTTGCCGCCGTCGCGCACCCGCGGGCGCTCAGACTTGCCGCTTCCCGTGTTCGGCTGTGGACGGCTTGGGCCGCTGGCGCCAGCCTTTGACCTCTCGCACTCTGGGCCCTCTCCGTTGCTGCGCAGCCTTGCGCGCCCAGGCCCGCCTTCGCCCTTCCCTGGTACCTTCTCCGGTTCAGCTGTGCCCATGGCGGACTGCTCACACCTGGGACCCTTTTTGCTGCCAAGGAGCATGGCATGCCTGGGGCTGGCGCCTCCTTTCTTTGGTTTGGGCTGCGCTGGCTTCCCAACGTCTGCATTTGACCGCTCTCACTTGGAAGCCTTGCCGTTGATTCGAAGCTTGGCCTGGTTGGGCCTGGCTCCACCCATGTTCGGTCTTGGCAGGATGGGCTCTTTGGCGTCAACACTCGACCTCCTGCATTCAGGAAGTCCGTCGCTTGCGCACAGTTATGGATGCTTGGACTCGCCAATGCCACTTTCCGGCTGTGGTAGCATGGGCAGTCAGCCGTTTGCCTTGGACCTGGTGCACGCTGATTTATTTCTACCCTCACGTTCGTTAGCCCAGCTCGGGTTGCTGATGTCGGCTTTCGGCATGGGATGTGTCGGCTTGAGCATGAGCGTCTTTGACTGCGCGCATCTGGGCCTTGCATCGTCATCGCAGTCCTTGGCATGTCCAGACTCGGCCACGCCGGTGTCTGGCATCGGACGTTCCGAATCTTCGGCCCCTGCCCTCGACCTCCTTCGCTTGGGCTCCCCGCTGCTGCTCCGAAGCTTTGGCCGCGGAGACCTTTCCTTACTTCCATTTGGAAGAGGAGTCACTGGCCCCGCGCTTTTGGCGGTTGACGCAGCTGCCACCGGCTCTCCATCGCCGCTGCAGTGCATGGCCCGATTAGGACCACCCCTCTTCTCATTTGGTGTGGCAAATCTTGATCCGGCGCTCTCGGTCGTGGATGCGACACGTATTGATCCTTTCCCGCCATTGCGATCCATGGCACAGCCGGGATTTGTGCTGCTAGTGTTTGGGGTCACGAGAGCCGGCCCGCTGGCGTCAGCCTCCGACTTCTCGCATGTGGGCTTCCTTTTGTCACCCCGAAGCTCGGCAAGGTCAGGTTCTTCCCTCCTGATGTCTGGATTGGCGAGGGCCGGCCCCTTTGTGCCCGCATTTGACTTTGTAAAGATTGGCTCCAGTTTGCCGCCGCGATGCCCCGCCTGGGTGGACTCATTTCTTCCAATGTCCGGAATGGGTTGGTATGGCAGCTCAGTGCCAGTGTTTGACCCCCTGCATTTGGCTTCTCTGCTGCTTGCTCGTAGCCCCGCATGAGCAGAGCCACCGCCCTCACCTGTTGGCTTCCGCTCAGAAGCCGCTTTGCCCATCTTCGACGTGTCCTATACGGGGCCGCCCCTGTTGCTGAGATCCCGCGCTTGCTTGGGCTTGGCTCCATCCGCTTCCGGTGTCGGCCGCTTGGGGCTGCCGCCCTCTGTGTCTGACTACAGCCACCCGGATGCCTCGCCACTGCCACGGTCGTCTGCTCGCTCAGACTTGGCGCCATCCTTGAGCGGCTGCGGTCGTTTTGGTTCGTCCCCCCCAGTAGTGGACTACTCGCATTCTGGCTTGTTCCTTCCTTTGCGGTCCTGCGCAAGATCAGGCCTCGCCTTGTTTCCGTTTGGCAGCACCAAGATTGGCTCACCTCTGCCGGCAATGGATTTTAACCTCTCAGGTTCGGTCCTGCCACCGCACAGCACGGCCTGGCCAGGCTCTGCACTGCCAATTTTCGGCATGTCCCGAGCAGACTTCCAATTACCTGCACCTGATTTGGCGACCATGGCATCACCAATGCTGGTGCAAAGCGCAGCTTGTCTTGGTCCTTTGCTGTTGGTCTGCGGTGGCGGCAGATTCGACCTCTTGATGTCTGCATTCGACCTTTTGCACACGGGCTTGCCACTGTTTCTGCGCAGCCTCATGCGAGTTGACTCGTCAACGCCGACCTCCGGCGCTGGAGCAGTAGGATCCCCGATGCCGGCGCTGGATTGCGTGAGCCCCAGTTCTTCGCTGTCCCTGCGCAGTGTCGGCCACCTGGGCTTGGCTTCGCCGACCCTGGGCTGCGGCCGCTTTGAGTCCTTGATGCCGGCGGCGGACCACAGCCACTTGGGGCCCTTGTCACTGCCCCACAGCTTGGCGTGACCAGGGCTTTTCTTGCCGCCCTTTGGTGCTTGCAAAGGAGCGCAGCCACCTGTGCTGGGCGCTTCCCGGATGGGCCCCGCACTCCTCATGCGAAGCCCGGCGCGCACAGAGCCTGTCGCGCCAACACTTGGAGTTGGTCGATTGGGCCTGCCTCTGCCAGCCTTTGACTCCCTTCATTCAGGGCCTGCTCCCTTTGCCAGGAGTCATGCCCGCCCTGAACCAACGACTCCAACCTCCGGAGCGTCCCGGACGGTGACCGGCCTACTTACCTATGATGCCGCCACTGTCGGATCCCCCATGTTTGTGCGATCCTGCGGACGCACAGGCCCAAGTCTTTCAACGTTCGGATTTGGACGCTTTGAGTCCCTGTTGCCGGCCTTTGACTGCACACACTTCGGTTTGTCGCTGCTTCTGCACAGCCTGGCTCAACTTGGCTCCTCTATGCTTGCCTATGGATTGGGCTGTGTCGGCTTGTTGGCACCGGCCTCTGGCTTGTCCCACCTTGGCTTCTTGCCGTTGCCCCACAGCTTCGCGCGCTTAGGCCTGGTGCTGTTGTTGCTTGGCGGCTGCAGTGGGTCCTCTGCGTTTGTGGTGGACCTCAGCCACCCCGCCCTGCCGCCTTCCACTCGTAGCTCCGCCCGCACGGGCTTGGCCTTGTTGGTGTCCGGCATCTTGCGCGTGGGCTCGGCCATGCCGGCCATGGACCGCGCGTCCCCAGGACCCTCGTTCCCTCCAAGGGCATGCGCATGCCCAGGCTTGGCCATCTCTGCAAGCGGCTTGGGACGAGTGGACTTGCCAGCGCCACTATTTGACCTCAGCGCTATTGGCCCATCCGCGTTGCTGCAAAGCTTTGTGCGAGCAGAGCCGGCCGTGTCCGTCTACGACATGGGACATGTGGGCCCATCTTTGCTTCTTCAAAGCTTTGCCTGCATGGAATTAGTTATGCCCGCATCTGGATTGGCGAGAATGGAGCTCTCGCTTCTCGTCTTCGCATTTGCACATGTTGACTTGAGTGTGTTCGCAAGATCACTCGCTTGAGTCGAATTTGCTTTGCCGGTTTGCGGCGTGTCTTGCTTCGAACTGTCCCTGTCAGTTCTAGACTTCTTCCACCCAGACTTGGCGCTCCCATTGCGGTCCATTGCTCGCACGGGACCTTTCCTTCCAGCGCTTGGGGCTTGCCGCACGGCCTCCTCCACGCCTTTGTTGGACTTTTCGACCTTTGGCAGCTCTATGCCTGCGCGAGGGAACTTCTGGTTGGGCCCCAGACCGTCCACCTTCTCGAGCGTCCGCTTGGACCCTGTCTTGCTAGCCCTGGACTTCGTGAACCCTGGAAGCACTTCGTCCGCAGGAACATTGAGGACCGCAAGATACAGAGGGCACTGGGGGCACCAGGGACGCTGAATGAACGGCTGCTTCCCCCGCAGGACATCCCTTATCTCAGATGGCTCTGATGCCACGTACGTTACGATCACCTCGCGCCACGACAGCACTTGGGAAGCTCATGCAAGTGATGTAAGGAAATGGTCAAGCACATCCCCACTCAAGAGCTTTCGATACTATATATTTACATGCACGTCTTCATTCGTGGGTATGTCTTAAAATGGGTCACATGGTCTTGTTTTGAACAAAGAAGCACACATACAAATATAAGTTCTCCAGGAAGCTTGGGAGGGGGGTTACCTATCTGGCGTCTGGGAAGAACGGGGGAACCTGAACATTCCCCATGACTGGTGACTGGCCCAGGTCGCAGATGGAGCTGTACGCAGGAACGTACAGAGGCATCACAGTGACTGCTTCTGGTGGCACACTGCACGGCATCGTCCTTACAATCATCATGCAGCAGTCTTGATGTTTTTCTCTGGACAGTTTGCAGTTTTCCTGATTGTTGAGGTGCCTGGGCATCAGAAGCCAGTATCACCACATCCGCTGGGCGCCCACGTTGACACGCCTGGCACTGTTTCACGTTTTCATTTTCAGCTTTTGTCTATGGCTTGCCAAGCACACCTGCAAGGACCGACGTCTGAAGCGCAACATCCAGCCGCTGTATGAGACCATTGCCAGCAGGGCCAAAGATCGCCTGGCGCCCACTACCAGCTTTGCTCTTCCGGCAAGCACTCGGACTCAGGCTTGGATGGCGGCGCAAGCGCGGGTTTGGGACCCAAGCACGGGCCTCAGCGATGGGATGAGAAGTTCAGAGTCGCAGAGGGCACTGAGCTGAGGCCGAGTGAAGGAGAGCAAGTCAAGTGGCTCTTGCGTCCACGGCTCAGCAAGTGACTTGCACACAGACGCAACTGACGCAGCTGCCAGGCGAGCTGCGACCAGTTTCTTTCCACCTGAAGCGGGGAGCAGAAGCAAAGTGCCCGGGGTCAGGGGCCAGGGGCTGGCAAGGAATTTCAGGCGCCATGGGCCTACAAGAATTGCATCGTACTCGCTGTATTGTAGGTGTTTCATATTCTGATATAGCTATGACTACAGTATTTCAGTCTTTGCCTTCGGTGTACTTCAGGCCTTCGGTCACCAGAAACGCGTCTCCAAGGCGCAGGCTTGAAATCGTAACGCACGCTGGGAGAAGCCTACAAAGGGTCGGCTTCCCCATTTCTTCTACACAACCAAGATCCTAACCAATTTGAACCTTCCTGCCCAACTTGGCTTCGGCTTTTCTTGAAATAAACATCCGGAACGGATTTCTGAAATAAGCCACACCCGCGCCAGCCATCTCAATTCTGCTCGAAGCAGTCCTTCACAAGTTCTCTGGCTGAGCATTGCTTTGCGTGTTTTTGGCTGTGTCACCAGGACAAGATGGACGATCGCTTTGCGTGCTTTGCATGCTTTGCGTATTTGCAGCTAAGTTTTACGGTGTAGGTGTGTCCACGCCCCTCTTTGCGGTCAACTAAGTGGCACTGCTTCGCGTGTTTACAGCTAGTTCTCAAGGTGTAGGTATGCCTGGTCAGCTAAGTGGCGCAGCTTTGCGTTTTTGCAGCTGTCGCAACGTGTAGGTGTGTCCATGCCCCTTTTTGTCGTCAACTGAGTAGCTAAGTCTCAAGGTTCAGTTATGCCTATGCCCATTTGTCGGTTCAACTAAGTGGCGCTGCTTTGCGTGCTTTGCGTTTTCCAGATGTGTGGCTCTCAGTTTAAGATAATTCAAGTCGAGTGCCACCTCACAAGGTGGTGGCCACAGGGTCCCCGAGAGAAGCAAAAGCAAAATACAAGAAGCACATTGACACCCGCATTTGGAAAGCCGCTTCCCATGAGGTACCTGAAGTTTGGCTTCATCGCGCAGGAGCTTGAAGAGATCTTCCCAAATCTGGTCTGCCGATCCGATCAATCGATCCGCAACTCATCACTCCTCGTGTCAGGTACGAACCATCGGAGACGACACCAAAGCCATCGCGAGCCAGGCTGCGCAAACCTCTCAGTTCCCTTAAAGGGAACCCCTTTTGAAGCAGAGACGGAGAAAAATGGCTCCGGCAGCAAGATCGATTCGATGTTTCAAGAGTGCGAGAGATGGCCAGGACCTCATCGCGGTGCTGACCCTGGCCTTCCAGAACTTGCAGAAGGCTGGACCGGATGCGGAATGAGATTCAGCCCATCGGAGGTTCATTGGATCAAACAACTCACGCGTGTTGGGGGTGCTGTAGGTAGAGGCAGTTTTGCTCCAGGGTGTCAGAGTCAGAACCAACGAGGTTCGGAGGCATGGACTGGCTGAGATCTCACCTCAGGAGCACGACGAGTACAAGAGGAAGGTCCTGGATCAGGAATCGGAGATGAACGACTTGAAGACGAGACTGGAGCGTCTCGAAAGTGGCCGACCCAGAGAGACGCTTTCTTTTGTGTCTCGAGGGTTGACGTATCGGCACAGGGATCAAGAGGCCAAGAGTGTGGGGCTTTCTTCCAAGACGAGTCATTCATTCACCCAGGACAGGTCGTCCACAAGCCATTTTCAGGACCAACGTTTGGAGTCCGCTAGCTGAGGTGCGCAGCTCCGACGCTGAGGTCTCGGCGGGCTGAGAAGATTTCCACTGTGTTGGCCAAGAGTGAAGAAGTGCAAGCTGAAGGCAATGGCCATGGAAATCATAGCATAGCAAACAAAGCGATTCGATTGGACTGGATGGATGGGTTTGATGGGTACAAGCTGAAGGGAAATCGAAGACCTTGGAGCACGGGCCAACACAGTGGCGATTCTGGGGCGCTTGGACTTCCAAGCCTCAAAAAGCGCGGCAACGAGTGTCTGGACCACTGAAGCGGTGAGGTCAAGGCAGAGGTGGGAACGAGAGTTGCACCTTGGACGGGTTGATAATTGGTTTCAGGTTTTTCGGACATTGACACGGTTTGACGCGGGAATTTGATTCGGACTTTGTGCTTGGCTCAAGAGGAAGGAACTCTGAGCTCGGTTTTGTCGGTTCGAGGAAATTGCTAGCCGCAAATTGGCAAAGCTGTGACTCGCTTAGACCCTCTTAGGGGGAGAGACTCAGACTCGCATCGATGAGTGCCATCCTGCGGGTGGAGGCCTGCGATGGACTCTGTTTTTTAATAATTATTTTTATATTATTATTTTTTAAGGAACAATAAAAAATATCAGTCTTTCTTTACTTCTTTGTTTCTTTGTTTCTTTGTTTCTTTGTTTCTTTGTTTCTTTGTTTCTTTGTTTCTTTGTTTCTTTCTTTGTTTGTTTCTTTCTTTCTTTCTTTTCTTTTTCTTATTTCTTTCTTTTATCTTTTCACGTTTCTTTCTAGTTCGTTTGTGAATGAGTGCAGCCAGCCAGTTGTGAATGAGTGCAGCCAGCCAGTTGTGAATGAGTGCAGCCAGCCAGTTGTGAATGAGTGCAGCCAGCCAGTTGTGAGTTCAGCCTTGCGCCACCCATCTTTTTTGGGGAATGATGTTGAGACTCAAGTTGAGACGTGTCCTTTTCGATCTTCAGAACATCAAACGGAGCTAACGGGCGGTTTGAGGGCAAGGCGGACGAGCTGATCCTCATTGAGCTCCAGAGCACGATGTACATGGAGGACGGCTGTTATTCTTACTACATGCTCTTCAATGAGACTTGGACCCCAACTGGCGAGGATTTCAGAAGACGATTTCGCGTGTGGGTAACCCCAAAAGGGTCTGATAAGGACTCGAAGTGAAGCCTAGCCGTCAGGACGGGTCCAAGCTGGCAGACCAGGACCTGGGTATCCTGGAGGTGACCAAGGAGGGCCCAAGCCCCAGAGCCTCTGGGAGGGGGATGTGGGCTTCTGTCCACTGGAATGGGTTTGGCAACTTGGTCCTCCCTTTTCGCATCTCTCCGTGTTGATCTGCTTCGCGAAAGGACAGGCACCGGCCCGTGCAATACGCTGTATGTGTCGATCCGAATGAGTCGAGTCGGGTGGGATCCGATTGAGTCACTCACCGCAGGCAACGCCACCCTGACCAACGGCCCGCGAGCTTTGTACGGGAAGATGCAGGAGCTCAAGAGCCCGCTGGCGCCGGACTCAGAGCTGTCAGCTCGATTGGCCAGCACAAGTTCCCAGCGGTTAGAAGCCTCATGGGGGGTATGAAGGTTGCCCTTTGTGGTTGGAAGCTCAAACGGCCTCACTTTTTCCGCAAGGTGCTCATGGAGAGAAAGGGGCAGGCCGTGGTTTCGCACCTTATGCTCATAAATGAACTGACGCAATCAGCGCTGGTTCGGGGCGGGGGCCACCCAGATTTGTCCCACATGCCCCAAAATTTCGGAAGGCGAGGGTAACATGCAATTTCGTTTGCGCAGGATGGCGACGTCATCCTTGCCGCCAGAGGTGTCGTACATCGGAAGGTTGGGATAAGTCTCGACGGCGCCAAAGCCATCACCTGGCATCCACTCCCTTCCCATCCCTTCCCATGGCAAGCGAAGTTTTGGGTCCGACCAGGCGGTCTTCAACCAGCGGCCGCAGCTGTCTGTGTGACGCGCCCAGGCCTGGACGTGGGCAATCCTTTGCATCCATTTTCTCCAGGCAAAAAACGCCCTAGTGACATGACAATCCGGCACCTTGACATGACATTCCCAACACCACAGACTTCAGAAAAGGGTCGATTCATCCATGTGCTCGCTTGGGGGGACAGTCCCAGCCACAAGTGTACCAGGGCCGTCTTTTCCGGCTTCACGTGTGCCTTTAGGTTTTGATTCTGACTCAGCTGGGCGTGCAAGATAATAAGTCTGCAAGGTGTCAAACGCTCCATTCGTGAGTCCCTTCTAGTTGAGAGTAGCCAACTTTTGCCGATGGCTACCACTTCTTTGATGCCTGGTGTGCAGGACTTGAAACCAACAACCTTATGCGCTTTGTAGCCGTCCTGTCGCTTTTCGAGTACTGCGCTTGTCCAAACCCAATTTTGCATTGTTGGGATGGCATTCATGGCACCCTGCTACCTGGGTTCAAGCCTGCCAAAGGTGGGCTAGGATGGTCTACCCATCAAATCCATGATTGTTTGACGAGGCACCTTGGCGATTCTGAAAAGGTTTCAGAAAGACGGAGCCTTCTGAGGCTTCTTCCATCATGCGACTGGCGCTGCTTCTCCTGGGATGTCACCTTGCCAGGCCCAATGAGACGCCCCAAAGGCCCCAATGGGTTGGCAAGGCTCTTGACTTGGATGCGGCAAAAGTTCCCACAAAAGATCATTAGCGCCTTTCGGCTCGCGTCTGGAGAGGGACAGCGCAAAGCCGCTCAAGCCGAATCGCAGCGGGCTCGGTGGCTTCGCCGGCTCGCTTCTCCTCAGGGCAGCCTTTGACGGCAATGAGAACTCATTGAAAGTTCTGCTGCTCGGCTTCCGCCAACGGAGCGCCTTTCGTGAGGGAAGCGAAACAGTTGAGGTGCTGTGACTTCGCCTGTTTGAGGCCATGGTGAAATAGCGAGGTTTGATGCTCCGACTCGACAGCTCACAGGAAAGGTGATGAGTTGACAAAGGCCGAGTTGATTTGAAGCATGTTTCCGTGGCTCCTGAAAGTAGGGGGCGGCTTTTGGGGATGGTTTACAAACAGGAGATCAACGGCCTGCCCACAGCCGAGGCTTTTTTGGGCAGTTGATGGCGCCAATCGGACGCAGGAGCAGTCTCACCAGGGCGTTTCTATTGCATGGCCAAATTGGGGCTTGAAGTGTAGATTTGGGACTCTTCACTGCACATTTAGGTGAGGATTCGCGTCCACCAACCACTCGGGAGGTGGTTCCATGTTGAAATTCACAGCCGAATGGACTTGTCAGGGCTGGAACTGCACTGCAAATCGTGCGCCAGGAAACTGTGATGCGAAATGTCGCGCAGCCTGGCTTTTTTCACTGTGACGGAAGCGTCTCAGGAAATCCCTTGACTTGCGAATATGGTGAATATTGCACAGCCTTTCTCAGGTATGCCCGCAGAATGGGAGGTCGACAATGCTGCGATGTCTTCTTAGCGTTTGCTGGCTGAAAAATTGGTTGAGCACTTGCAGCACTTGCAGCACTTGCACGGGCTCACGTGCCCGAGGCATTACGAGGGAACCTCCAATGGCTGGGATCGGGACTGGTATGCGAGCGAAGTGACGCAGGGGCCTCACATCCGGACTCACCGCACGTCCTTGATGTCAGCTTGGCACCTCAGGTCTAGCATTCAGAAGCCCGGCGTCTTGGCCAATAGCTCTACCGAAACAGCATGTTCTGCATACGTGCACGCTTGAGTGGTCGACCGAGCAACCTTGCGGCTGAGGTTACAAATTTAAGTTTCTGCAGGAGGCGTACAGAGAAGAGTGGCAAGTCGTCTGCAAGATGCATACGATGTCATGTGCGCGTGTTGCTGACTTGTTCGCCTATCGCATTGATTGCCAGCGGCGCAACACGTAAGGACCCAGAAATATGAATTTGTTTGGGCCTTGGTGAGGATCTCAGTCGTCTCATGCTCTCGGATGTGATGAAGGGGAGTTTGCTGCATAGGATAGTGACATAGACTTCACCGGAGTGAATCTGGTAGAGCTTTTTCAGCTTGCCCGCTCATCTGGCTCTCTGCCACTTGGATCGAATGTTGGCGTTTTGAGTTTGGTGCAGCGGCTTTCGGAGACGAGGATCGTCGGGCCCACCTTTTCCGGAGACCAGGCTGGCGGATGACTTCCGAGGGGCGTAAATATTTTTGTTCCGAGAGGCCTGGAAGACCTATGCCACAGATCTGCTGCAGCAGGATGGGGCCAGAAAGGCAGGACCCCTTGGCAACCCTTGGCTCGCTCCGGAACCGATCAGATCGGAAAGTGAAAGAAAGTGCCAGGCCCTCATGCGGCATGATGTTGGGCAGCAGATCAACGTGCTTGGCAGCTTGGATGGGCAAGTGAGGAACACGGAGACTCACCAGGGACGGCAAGCGCATGGTATCCTCCACTTTGCTAGGAAAAAAAATTATCTAACCACCAAACAAGGCGCGGGAATACTCTCAGAAATGCCGGAATCAGGAGCACGAACAGTATTGCAAAGGTGCCCAATCGCTTATCACTTTCAATCAAAGGCCAGATGGTCCCTCCATGGGCCGGTTCCGAATGGGAAAGGATCGGCTCGCAGCCCCCGAGGCAAGCCTGATCCGCGCACCTCGGCAAAACATGCCATTCCAGCGATTGGTTTTGAACAAAAACGCGGGGGTTCCTCTTGGTGGGGTCATTGGACGGGAAATACAAGGCGTCATGGCAGTTGGAAGCTTTGCGGCTCCTACATGGTTGGACCTGACACCGTGTGCCCTGAAGACGACGCCCCGCCCAGTAGGGGCTGAAAAACAAGCATCCCAAGCACGGCGCAACTTCATATGTGTATGTGTTTGTGTGTGTGTGTGTGCGCGAGTGCAACACATGTTTATTGGAGCCATTCTCAACTTTTGACAGCAGTGCCATGATCAACTCACCCTTGGGTTGGCAGTCACGAACCTCAATTTAGAGAGTGAAAGGCTTCCAAAGCAAGCCATCACCCGAATGTTCGCAGCTCACAGGTTGCATGATGCGGCACACAGACTTCGTGGAGATGACAGCACCGCTGCCTGGGTCTAAGGGTAGGGTCCAAGTCTCCAGCCGGACGCTTCACACGCGAGGCTCTCCTCCATGGTCTTGTCACTCATCCTGCTGCTCGGCAGTTGATGTTTGTTTTTATCTTTGCGAAGCTGTTCTGCCTGACGCTCCGAGGAAGGATTGTATTGAGCCTTGGCTGGGACAAGCCTTGAATCTGTGCAAAGAAATCACCCTGGCCGCTTTGAGACGCATCATTGGTGAGGATTGCATCCACGATCGAGCTGAATGGGGGCTTGACAGGCCCTTTCAAAAAACGGCGCCTGTGATACCGGATGGCCCTAGAAACGCTTTGCGCCAGGGTATGGTGCGAAATGGCATCAGAGAAGTTCTCAGTTTCCGCGCCTAGGATGCATGCCGCAAGAATCAGAGCAGCCATTGCGAGCACATGTCGGGCCTGTCAAAGGGCCGTGCTTTCAAAGCTTGATGCATTCTGGAGGCATGCACTCTGCTGGATGCAACACCAGTTCGCCATCTCGACTGGCAAACTGCCAAAGTCACACCAGAATTCAAAGATGCTGAAAGGAAGGTCAAGGAAAGGCTGAGCGCTTAGTCACTCTTTCATTTTGCGTCCTGCGCCAAAGCGAGAGATTTCCCGGGGCAGCCCTTCCCGGCAGCACCATGCGAGGTATGCCAAGTACTGGGCCCAAGTGCGAAATATTGACTGCATGCTGGCGCACAAGCAGAGACGGGTCACGACGCCTGGATTTCTTTTGCGAGCGCATGCCATGGAAAAGGGGGTCTCCATCCGCCAGACATAATTGGGAGAGCTGAACTGAGGATAGACACCCATGGCAACATCAAGGAAGAAGACTGATGGCAAGTGCCACCTGGGGCCTGCATACCTTGCCGTTTCCTGCGGACCAAAAGAGCGCCGGAGGGGGATTGTCCAAGCCTTGCAATGGGATCTTCTCTCTAAGGAAGTGCACCCCAAAAACCAGAGAGGCAAATCCACTCCCCAAGCAGCCTGGGAATGCGTGCGGGCCTGCGACTTGTCGAGTTTTTGCTCCGGCCAGGGACTTGCGGACTGGACGTGAGTGAGTGGGACTGGGGCACATTGCCTGAGCAATGTGAACGCTCGTTCCGAGCAAAATGGAGCTGTTTTGCATAGGTGGGAGGACCCGAACAGCAAGAAACTATCTCAACTCGCTGGGCCGTGCAATTTGAAGCTCTGGGTCCAAGTGAACGCATCTTGCGCCCTTGGCGCTCACTGCCGTTGCGCGCACCGTGGCTCGCGGCAGTCTTCAGGCTTCAAGTGAGAGCTGTGATCATCCAATGGCCCGGGAGATGGAGCAGCAGCGCATGCGGGGCATGTCGCAGCCTTAGGACGGCAAGGCATCATTTTGCGAACGGACATGCAGAAGGTCCGAGGTTCGGAAGGCTCGAGGTCTGAGCTGGATCTTGCTCGAGGCTCGAGCCCCTCCAGCAGCAGGACCGAGGTTCAGCCAAGTTGCTTTCGGGCATGTGTCAGTCAAATTTGGTGACTGCGGCCCAAGGATCCGGAGGTCTCGCAGATCGTGGCGTATTCCAAGTTTGTGGCCGCCCTCTCAGACCGGTCACCGGGCCTCGATGCGGCCGCAATGGTGCTGTTCCGTTCTGTTTTTATTGGCCTGGTGCCAAGTTGAGCCAACCGGCGCCAGCATGCCTCCTTTGACTTGAACGTAGCCCAAAAACCTGATTTCCGTTGACACCACTTGATGTGATTCATGAACTTTTGGTTAACATAAGAGGGCCGGTACAAGCGAGTCCCCGGCAACTAGGGCAACTGGGGCATTGATCCATCGCTCCATGTCATTCCGCCCTTTGGAGCAGCCTTCCCTTGAACCTCGCGCACGGGGAAATCCACTGATGGTGTGGTCTCAAAGTTGTACTGTATAAACACCCCCCCCCAGAACCCATGGGCCCAACTGACACTTTGCTGTTTTTGATGTTCATTGTGCCGTATTGGACAAGCACGATGTTGGCATATTTGTGCAGTATCATTTGTCCCTTGGTCAAAGAACAAACACACCAAGCGCGGTGGTCCTTGAACCTCCCATGTGATCGGACCGTCTTTTTCTGAGGTTCCCCCTTATTGGGCAAAAGCTCAACGGGGTCCCCAGTCCCATGTCCCGATGTCCCGATTCGTCAGGTCGCGTACTTCCTGCAGCAGGATGGCCCAAGCCCCGGCTGGCGGAAGGCGAACATCGAGGGCCCCGTGTACCTGGTCCGCCGGAGAAGTGCGCCGCTGCCGCCCGGCCATCAAATTGATCCCAACAGGCCAGGTTCCAGTTTCTACCGGGCTGAAAGGGCTTGGAAAGCTTGAATGTAATGACCGCGGTGGAAATAACAGTCAATGGTTTTGGGCGCTTTGGGAAAATGGTACGGCTAGCCCCAAGGTTTGATACGGAAGCTGGAAATGGTTGTGTGCATATTTGGTGAAAGGGTGCATGCCAGGGATCCAAGTAGATTTCTTTCTGAGGATCAAGCAATTCGGAAACTTTGGGTAGCCATAGTTGTTAAAATGGAATGTGTGACCCAATTGCCTGAAGTATGGAACCTGTGAGTGAAGTGGCTCGCACTGAGGCTCCAGGCCTGCGGCATGACAAATGGCAAAGGGACACGCGGTATTTTTGCAATGGGCAGAGTGGTTCTTTGGCATTGCTTGTTCAATATGCCCATTCTTTGGGTTCATTCAACCATATCCCCTGCTCGAGAGTGCAAGGAAATGATTGAACCCCTACCTGCGCTCATTTCGGTGTCCAAGTTTCAAGGGAAAGGTGGGAGGGGCCCGCTGAAAGTTGATGCTTTTCAGCGCAGCTTGAGAGTCAAGTAAGTGTTCACGTGCGATCCATGTTGTGAGCTTGGGACATAAACAGAAGCGGCTACAGCATTTTAGAACTTAGGGCCAATGTTAGGCCGATGTTCTAATTAGTCCAGGCCTCCTACCATCTGCCTGCCGCCTGGCCAAGGTATCAGATCATAGTGAAAAACCAGTTCAGCACCAGCGATCTCATCGACAACCTGCCGCTTGCCAAAGAAACCCACGCTCTTTCAAGCAATGCTGAAGCGCAGCCAGGCATCCGGACTGGGAGCTGGACTGTGCGGAGCTCAGATTTCTGCGGAGGGGTATTTATTCCCGAAAGCATGGCGAAGGGTTCTTCCGCTGGGTTCACTTGAGTTGTTCTCATGAGAGTCATTACAAGGTGTCATTGCAAGGAATCATCATCATGAAAATCATTGCAAGGAGTCATTGCAAGGAGTGATTGCAAGGAGTCATTGCAAGGAGTCATTGCAAGGAGTCATTGCAAGGAGTCATTGCAAGGAGTCATTGCAAGGAGTCATTGCAAGGAGTCATTGCAAGGAGTCATTGCAAGGAGCCATGGCAAGGAGTCATTGCAAGGAGTCATTGCAAGGAGTCATTGCAAGGAGTCATGGCAAGGAGTCATTGTGCGATTTTGTTTGGGCTCGCGCGACCCTCTGCGGGGATCGGCGTGGTCGAGGTGCAAAAACTCCAGGTTTTTTTGCGATTTTGTTTGGGGTCGCGCGACCCTCTGCGGGGATCGGCGTGGTCGAGGTACAAAAACTCGAGGCGTTTTGCGATTTCTGCGGTTCCCGCGCGACCCTCTGCGGGCTCGAGATTTTGTGCGATTTCTGCGGTGCTCGCGCGACCCTCTGCGGGGATCGGCGTGGTCGAGGTGCAAAAACTCGAAGTTTTTTGCGACTTTTGTTGTTCGAACTGGTCCTCGGGAGTTGTCTCGTGGTTCGCGCGCCTGCTTCCGGGACCGGCAGGGTTCGATTCCTCCCTGGTCCGCAGGCGGGCGTCGCAAGATGCAACTTGCATAAAGCAATTTGCGCAGAGCACCTTGCGCAGAGCAAGTTGCAAAGAGCAAATTGCGCAGAGCATCTTGCGCAGACCAACTTGCACCGACCAGTTTGCGCAGAGCGCCTTGCCTAGAGCAACTTGCAGAGCAACTTACGCAGAGCAACTTGCACAGAGCAACTTGCACAGAGCAGCTTGCACAGAGCAACTTGAAGGGAGCAACTTGCACGGAGCAATTTGCGCAGAGCAACTTGCGGGGAGCCACTTGCAGGGACCAACTTGCGCGGAGCAACTTTGACAGAGCAACTTGCGCAGAGCAAATGCACCGACCAGTTTGCGCAGAGCGCCTTGCCCAGAGCAACTTGCGCAGAGCAACTTGCACAGAGCAACTTGCACAGAGCAGCTTGCGCAGAGCAATTTGCGCAGAGCAACTTTGACAGAGCAACTTGCGCAGAGCAACTTGCGCAGAGCAACTTGCGCAAAGCAACTTGCACAGAACAACTTGCACAGAGCAACTTGTACAGAGACATTTGCACAGAGTCAGTTGCACAGAGCTTCTTGCACAGAGCAGCTTGCACAGAGCAACTTGCACAAAGCAACTCTGCGCAGAGCAACTTGCACAGAGCAACTTGCACAGAGCAGCTTGCACAGAGCAATTTGCGCAGAGCAACTTTGACAGAGCAACTTGCGCAGAGCAACTTGCACAGAGCAAACTGCGCAGAGCAACTTGCACAGAACAACTTGCACAGAGCAACTTGTACAGAGACATTTGCACAGAGTCAGTTGCACAGAGCTTCTTGCACAGAGCAGCTTGCACAAAGCAACTTGCGCAGAGCAACTTTCGCAGAGCAACTTGCGCAGAGCAACTTGCACAGAGCAGCGTGCGCAGAGCAACTTGCAGGGAGCAACTTGCACGGAGCAACTTGCACGGAGCAACTTGCACAGAGCAACTTGCGCATAGCAACTTGCGCAGAGCAACTTGCACAGACCAGTTTGCGCAAAGCACCTTGCCCAGAGCAACTTGCGCAGAATGGTCTTGGGGCTGTGATGTTTTCGGGCCAACCGTGGTCTAGTTTTAGGATTTTTTCGTTTTTTTTCCCTTTTGGCTTCTTGGCTTCTTGGCTTTTTGGCCTCTTGCCTTCTTGGCTTCTTGGCTTCTTGGCTTCTTGGCTTTTCGGCTTCTCGGCTTCTCGGCTTCTTGGCTTCTTGGCTTCTTGGCTTTTTGGCCTCTTGCCTTCTTGGCTTCTTGGCTTCTTGGCTTCTTGGCTTTTCGGCTTCTCGGCTTCTCGGCTTCTTGGCCTCTTGGCTTCTTGGCTTCTTGGCTTCTTGGCTTCTTGGCTTCTCGGCTTCTGGGCTTCTTGGCTTTTTCGGCTTCTTGGCTTCTCGGCTCCTGGGCTTCTGGGCTTTTCGGCTTTTTGCTGGTTTATGCGGCTTTTGGTGGCTTTTTGGCTTTTCGCATCCTCTGCATTCCCAGTTCCTCTTCGGCAGGTGGCGCTTTTGCGGCTTTTCGCTGGTTTATGCGGCTTTTGGCGGCTTTGGCTTTTCGCATCCTTCGGGCTTTTTGGCTATTGGTTTTTGGATTTGGCTTCCCGCATCGTCAGCACCACCACCACCCTATTTGAATTATCACTTCTTCGGACATCATAAGGGGAACCCCCCGCCAACCCACCCGCTACTGTTTAGATCGTTTGCAGAGTAATTGCACCCCTATTTGAATCAACTCTTCTTCAAACATCATGGGAGGGGTTGCCGCCTCCCCCCCGTTACTTTTTAGATTTCTTGCAGAGATTGAATTGCACCCCTGTTCGAATCATCACTTTTTCGAGTGTCCAATTTCGCGAGAAAATGCTGCAAAATACAACATTTTAGGTAATCTGTGTAATCCATGTATGTCTGTATGTATGCATTTCTTCGAACATCATAGGGGAAGCCACCCCCGCCAACCCTCCCGCTGCCTTTTAAATTCTATCACGCCCTTTCCTGAATCATTGCACCCCTACTTGAATCATCGCTTCTTCCGACATCATGGGGGTGGGCTGCCGCCCCCCCCAACCCCCTCGCTACGTTTTAGATTTTCTACAGAGATTTAATTTATTGCACCCCGAGTTGAATCATCAATTCTTCGAACATCATGGGGGGGGGCTGCCGCCCCCCCCTATTCAAATCATCACTTCTGCAAACAACATCATGGGGGGGGGGGCTGCCGCCCCCCCCCCCCAACCCCCCCCTACTTTTTGGTGTTTTGTTATTTTACAGGGATTGAAATGCCCTCCTACTTGAATCATCATTTCTTTGACCCCGTCACACGATTTCATGGTGATGCCAGGGATGTTGGTCGGACGCGGGGGATGTTGAAAACGATGCTGGGGATGTTGACGGGCTAGTGTAATATGCGTCAATTTCGCGAGAAAATGCTGTAAAATACGACATTTTACTGGCCCGGACGAAAAACGGAAAAAATAAATATATATAAATCCGCACCCGATTTCTGCTTCTTTGGCGCAAGACAAGTTTGGACAAGGCCAGAAGAACTACATCTTCTACAAAATTGAAGATCCGCCTAGGCCTTAGGGCCTCGGGGCCTCAGGGGAAGGGGGGCTTCGCTTTGGTCACTGATGAGACCTTCCGTGCTCTCGTGCTCTGAGGAACAAGCAGATTCGAGGCCTGTGGTTCCACAATGACACCGAGCGCGTGAAGATTGAGACCGTGCTCGAGCAAACCATGGAAGCTTGGCCCGCACTGGCCACGGCGGTTTTCCCCACATAGCAATCTCAGGAAGAGCTTCGAAATAAGCCGATGGATGCACCGAAACCTGCGGCCCCTTGGAGCGAGAGATGAAATCTGCAGATCTGCGCACGCAGTTCGTTGTCACAGGCACTCACCCAACAGCTTCGCTCGGGTGACGTTCCTGCTGCCAACGGCGAAGCGCAGCCGCTTGCATGGCACTAGGTCAATGTGGCCATGATTTTGCATAGGAGTGCTTGGCGGACATGGGGGTTGATCAATATTCCTGGCCCCCAAATGACCATGGGACAAATTGTCCAATTTGGTGGGACCCATCATCGTTATAGTGGTTTTCCCCCAGGTAATCTCATGTAAGGGACCTTTTGAGTAACCCGCGCATGAATCCCAACCCAAATGATGTCCATCAAACGATCCCCACGAAATTTCACAGCCACGTCAACGCGAGACCACGCCTTCGCCGCCCTTTTGGCTTAGGTTGCCCCAGCGCGTTTCGGATTCAGCCCCTTGGCAGCCGAGCGGGTCCTTGAAGACGGGGACCCCCCCAAAGTGCCAAGCGTTTTGAGTTTCTTTGAGAAACCATGTTCCCAATTGAACCACCCCACAGGCTGGCCTTTCACTGTTCCCTGAGAGCCTGAATCTTCAGAATAGGGAGAATTGTCGGGATGAAGGCAAATGTGGTCAGAGAACCCACGTTAGTTCCGCCTATTCTCCTGTTGGATCCCATTGAAACCAAGAAGCAGGCGAGCAGCGACTTTGGCCTAAGTTGGAATATGAGCCGAAGAGGCTTGGGATCTCGGATCTCAGGAAAGCATCGTGATCTCAAGGGAGTCAGTTCGAGCTGCGCTTCACGCGCTAGCCGACGATGATAGCTATGTGGAGTCTGTGTGGCAGCTTCCTGGCCGCACAGTGCTGCTTGCACATGGCAACTTCACCCAAGCAAAGTCTTGAGGCTTAGCAGAGGCAGTCCCAACCATCAAGCTGTGACCGAAATGTTGATTCTCTGCATGGCTTTGGGTAGATTCCTGGACCAGGCTTTGATCATGACTTGACACCAAGGAAGCTGAAAGCCAAGTCGGGCGCATGAGTGATGCGTCAAGCACTCAGCCATCCCATCGACTCTGGTTGCGCTTGACTTGTAATTGACCCAGGCTGAAGGGAAGGGAATGTGGCAAAGTGGCAGTCCGAATTGAGGGGGCAGCATTTTGCGTAGCTGCCGTTATGGCAGCAAGTTCCATCGCGAAAATACATACTTCTTTTAGGTGTACTAAGGTACACCACTCAAGAGTGATATGAGAAAGTTCTCCCCAGCAGGAATCATCATAAGTCGCGACTTGTTTGCCCATGTGTGTTTGGGTTGGCAACTGCCCCAGCCACTGAGTCCCAAGTGGCCCCATGGGAGCTCCTCAAGATATTGCCCATATGCTTGCTCAGCGTGACGATGCTTTCATTTCGGGAGCCAGCCACTTGCAGAGGGCAAATGCAATGGGTCGTTGTCTCACAGTAAAGAGGTTACCAGTCAGAGACGGACGCACTGCCGAGATGCGAGAAAACATGGCAAGTGCGGCAGGGCCTGCCTGGTGTGGCAAGGTTTGTTTTCAGGAATGTCTCAAAAACGTTCGGGTGGCAACATGGATGCCAAATTTGAAAGCCAAGCTGGGGGTAGGGTTTTTGAGGGTACCATGGGTACCCTTTTCCTTCGTTCGGATGTAACGGGCAGCAACGCCAAACATGGGGCTTGACCATGTCCACGTGCCACCGCGTTTTTGTGGAGCCGTGGCATCGGCTCAAGGCAAGCGTTGGAATCATGGCTTGCAAGTGAGGGAGGCCCATGGATTTGCCCAGGCCCCAGTCAAGCAAGGACCCGGTGGGAAGGAACCGGAAAGAAATCCTTCTTGAAGGGAAGCCATAGGGGATTGTGTTATTTGGGGGTCATTCCGTCATTCCCTGCTTCATTGTAGCTACTCGTAATGTGTGGAGAACAAACACACCAGGGGAAATTACACTTTGGATAGTGACGATATAGTGACACACATATTTTTTTTGTAGATATACGCATGCAAATACACATGTATACATACATGCATACGTATTGTTTCTTTTGAACCTGGTGGTTGAGACTCTGAGACAAAACATCGGGACCCGGCTGTTGAGCCTGGCCTGCAAACACCTACACACACACACACACACGCAACAAGCAAGCAAGCAAGCAAGCACGCACGCACGCACGCAAGCAAGCAAGCACGCACGCAGACAGACAGACAGACAGACAGACAGACAGACAGACAGACAGACAGACAAACAGACAAACAGACAAACAGACAAACAGACAAACAGACAAACAGACAAGCAGACAAGCAGACAAACAGACAAACAGACAAACGGACAAACAGACAAACAGACAGAGACAGACAGAGACAGACAGAGACAGACAGAGACAGACGGAGACAGACAGAGACAGAGACAGAGACAGAGACAGAGACAGAGACAGAGACAGAGACAGAGACAGAGACAGAGACAGAGACAGAGACAGAGACAGAGACAGACAGACAGACAGACAGGCAGGCAGGCAGGCAGACAGACAGAAAGACGGAGAGACAGACAGAGAGACAGACAGAGACAGGCAGACAGAACGACAGACAGAGAGACAGATAGAGAGAGAAGCAGAGACACAGACAGAGACACAGAAAGAGACAGACGGAGACAGCAGAGACAAGCAGAGACAAGCAGAGACAGAGAGACAGAGACGGACAGAGACAGACAGAGACAGACAGAGACAGATAGAGACAGACAGAGACAGGCAGAGACAGACAGAGAGACCAAGTAGCATCCTTGAGTCGCGTAACGTCACAAACTTTTTTGTCAATGCTATGGCATTGACGCTGTGCTGTGTGACGCTGTGCTGTGTAGTCGCCACCAACAGGACTCGCGTAGTGTGGATCTTTGTGGTGCGCCGAGCGATGCAATTGTTAGTCCTGGCCATTCTTTCCGTTGCCCCCTCCCAAATCGCTTCCAAGCGCACATGAAAGGGATGCGCTGCCTGAATGTGATGGTGAGAAGCTTCTTGCACTTGTGACAATCGTGTGCACGCTCTTCACATATTCAACAAAGATGGCAAAGCCAGGGTGTCGCTCCACACACCTGACGTGCAGCTGGCGCATTCCTGTCAGCAGGTTTTTCACGGAGAGTTGGACAGAGGATAGACGCTTCTTGGTGACACCCTTTGCCCGCAACTTGTTCTTAGGTTCCTCTTTTGGCTTCCGAGCGCGCTGCTTTTCGCGAGACTCGGGCTAGGTCGCGTCACTATGACCATCCCGACGATCCTGGGCCATAGCCTCGTTTGGACCTTGGTCCAAGGCCCTTGAAATCGGCCTGAGGTACTCGGAAGACTATGAAGAGCGGCTCTGGCAGAAGAGAATCAAGTTACAGCATGTAGTTACTAACAGTTACTAGTTTTCAGCACGCACGGCCGAGGCAACGCATGTACGGGGACTTCTACAGGGAGTCCGCTGAAGCAGTTACTCGAGGACGCGCCTTCCTTTGCTCTTCTATCTTTTCCGCTAACAGCCTGAGGAGTCACTCTTCCGCTTCCCAGTGATAGCCTTGCAGTGCGCCCCGTTGTCGTGTCCCGGGTTGAGCAAGCGTCGCGAGTCGCGGGTCACGTGAAGGCCGGGCCCTTTTTTGGGGACTTCTACCGTGATGAGGATCCCTACAAAGGCCCGAGCTGAGCCGCGCCCTTCTGGGAGAGATGTCAAGCTGAGCCGCGCTCCAGGCGTGACGTTGCCATGCGAGGAGAGCAAGTTCTTCGGAGGTGGGGCGTGCGCCGCATGGGCCGCATGGGCCGCTTGGGCCGCGTGGGCTGGTACAACTTGAGCCTGCCGGGGCAATTGCAATGTGTAGGCCCGTGCCTTGAGAAAGTTCTCTTCAAGGAGCCGTGATAGGAACCAGTGCAAGTATCCTTTCTTTCTGGACGAAATGGAGGGCTCGACCTTCGTCCCCAAATTTTGTTGTCTGGTTCTCCGAGCCCTTTCCCTACAGCTAGGCCTGAACCCTTGAACTGCCACTCCTCTTGCCTTGGGATTTGCAGTGCTCTGCCAGGAGGGGCCGGCTCCTTCTGGGTGGAAAGCGGAGCCGAAGGCACGGTGAACGCCCACATGTCCAATAGGAGGGTAGCGGGCGTTTGCTCTTGCCTCCACCTTTGATCTCCCTACCAAGTGCATCGGACCTGTTTTGTGTTTGCTTTTCGGGGTGTTCAACGACCAACCCAGGAAGGAGGCAACCACTTCTGGGCTCCGGACACATGTCAGCCTGGCAACTTTCTGTCATTTGAGCCTGTGGCCCATGCGCAGGCTGCCCATGACCAACATGCCAAATTTCAGGAGGTGTGGAATAGGGGGGTCTCCAGTTTCAACACCCATTCGTCAAAGTCGCGCGCCTTCTGTGAACTTCCTTCTCCCAAAACTAGGAGCCCACCAAGAGGTTCTCGGAATCCTTTGATTTTCGTCGACGCGCAGCTGTGTTGTCTTAGAGTGCATGGTGGTGTGGAAGGGAATCTGAAGAGACGCGTTGGGTTCCAAACAGTTTGGATTTGTGTCAAGTTTTCAAGCCCTGGCTCTTTAGTCATGGCTGCACATTGATTTTCGGTTTATGTGCGGGTTCGTCTCAATACAGGGAACCCCTGAAAGGGTTGTCCTTTGAGACATACCCTAGGGTTTGGCATATGTACCAAACAGTCAAGGATCAAACAAGCATCAATTCAGGATCAAAACAAGTTATTCCAGACCGTATAAAGGAGAAGGCACTTAGTAGAGCATTATCCTGTGCACCCTGGAGCAACAGGGAAGTCAGAGTCTGGCGCAGAGACAGAACAAGTTAGTAAGTTAGCAAGTGAGAAAGTTAGCAAGTCAGCAAGTTAGCACGTACGCCAGTTAGTAGGCTAACAAGCTAGAGTGGAACTGGAGGAGAGGGTAGTTAGCAAGTTAGTGTGGAAGCAGGGGCAGTTAGCGCGGAAGTAGTGCTAGCACTATGCTAGCACCACTACTACTACTGCTGCTGCTGCCACTACTACTACTACTACTGCCGCTGCTGCTGCTGCTGCTACTACTACTACTGCCGCTGCTGCTGCTACTACTACTACTTGTCTAATTTGTCTTTGATTTTGAACCAATATGTGTTGATCCCTTAGCCCTAGGGTTTGGGGTTTGGTTTTGGCCAGACCGACTGCCCTCCACCCAAGCCGTCGGACCCCATGTGGAGCTTTGAGGCGGGCCCCGAAGGTCGCGGGAAGTTTTGGATGTTTCACTCAGCTTGGCCTTTTCTGACCCAAAAGGGAGAGTAAGGGTTAATTAGCCAAGGTCAATGGTTTCTTCACTCTTTTTCTGACGCAGAGTCCCAACGCGTAGTTAGCCCTTGGGAAGGCCGATTTCCAGAACCAAAGGTGCCAAAACAGGATTGGCAGAAAGTTTTCGAGCCCTCAGAAAGTAGCCAGACAATCCAAAGATTTGCTTGTGCTTCTACAAAGAGCCGTTTATGAAGGGAAGGGGGGGGGGGCGATCCTTGAGAACACTACAACCTATAGCATTTGAGCCGAACCCAAACTCTGGGTAAGCGAATAAGGGTCGGTCATCCGAATATGAGAATTCCCTGACAGTCTTTTGAAATATATTGCTTTGTGTTTTGTTGGTTGAGGCTGACTCAGGAAGTCATGGCTTGTATCAGCCATGTTGAACGACTGCCCCCAGATCCGCCCCCCCAACCCTTCATTTTATATACCCCTCATTTTGCCGAATTGTCACGTCCCCAGTTGGGAAAAGTCATTCTGAGGTTCAAACACATGACGGTACAAATGAAGTTTCTTTTAAGTTTAAGTCCCAGGGGGGGACTTCTGTATGTCCTTGCAGGTTTCATTTTCGACACTCTTGTCAGCCTCACATGCATGAAACGGCTTGCTTGGCTACTAGGCGACCACCATCTACGTGACGCGCCCGATGTCCGTCCTGATCCAAGAGATGTGCGCCCGTCAGCTGTCGTTTGACGGGCGTGTCCCGGAGACTTGCGTGAAGACCAACGTGAGTGACCGTGGCACGTGCGGCATGTGTCTCAAGTTGATGAGCCCCTTCAGGTGTTTGATTTCCTTTGGTTTCTCAGAGCTATCCAAAAAGGCAACCCAGATTTGAGCAACAACTCGCTGCAGCGCATTTTCGGGCTCCACTCGGATCGTTTGACTTGAGAGCCGGGAAGCTAAAGGAACGTGTTGCTGGAGAAGTTGAACCAGATGGCAACGACCATCAAGGCTGCCCGCAATGCGACAGTGTGCTCTATGGACGATTGAGGGGGCGATTGGCCACTTGCAGGTGAGCCGTGCACCAAAGTTTGCCATCAAGTCCGATGTGTTCGTCCGCAACGTCCGGCACCCAGCAGCTACGCAAAACTTACATGATCTTTCCTTGCCAGAGCCAAACCTTCGCAAGGCAAAAGTCACCTTGAAGGTTCGAGTCTACACCATGGAGGCAAACAAGTGCGACACTGAAAACCTTGGTGTCCTTCGCCGATGCTATTGCTGAATTGCTGAGGTATGCAATAGAATTTCAGAGGCGCCAGGGTGATTGCCTGGCCTTCAACCACGTGTACCAGCAGGAGGGCCCCGTACGGGCCGCGCGCGCTTGGGATTTGTGAACCACAGGCGTGGCGCCTTCTACACGACGAGTCCCACGTCGAGGCTAGGGACATGAGCGCCCACGTGTAGCGTTCTCTCTCAGGTTCAAGCGAAACTGGTTTCGATTTGAAGTCTTTCCATTCAAGGCTTAGGATTTGGTATGGTTGGCAGCAAGCCATATCACCCAGGCAGAAATTTGTGGCAACCTGTGCAAACGTGCGAGTCGCCAACGAAAAACAACGTCGAGACACGGCACGAATCTTCAAAGTTTTTCGAGGATCTTCCTGGCCCTCCACCCTGCCAAAGCCCAACTTCCTCGGATGAGGTGTGGGTGATCTTCGGATCGGCATTGGGCAGAGCCCTGCCTTTTCGTCAGGTTAACTTCACTCGTTTCCGATTTGAATCTTTTGGGAGATGAGGGTTACGCTCGCGTTTTTCAACATGGTGGAGACTTGGGGAAATGGCAAAATGTTTTGTATTGGCCCCGCCCTTTCTAAGTCCTGCTGTTTCTTTGGTGGAATGCGCCTGTGCCTTCACTGCCTAACATTGGTGCCCAGGATGCAGCAGGGCGGGTTGTGTCAGCTGGGGGTTGGTTCGCTCCGGTCAGATTGGAGTACGTTTTCGGACGTGCCAGAGGAGGCAGCTTTGGTTTGCCCCGTCACATGTGCGCCAGGCCACCTGTAGTCTGATGCGGCATCCCATTCTGCATGTTCTGCATGCACCCCTAGAGCACGCACCAAGAACGAATGTGATTTATCGGGCTAGTGAAGCTTGTGAAGCCCCGCTTGCAGGCCGGCATTCGAAAGCTCGCGTGCAGACAACAACAAGATCTAGTGACTTTTCACTTCCACATTATTTTGATTTGCCTTCCTGCCTCTCCCTCATGTTTATCCCTCTCCCCTTCTCCCTCTCTCTCTCTCTCTTTTTGTTTTTTCTCTTTTTCCCTCTGCTCTCGCACTTTTTGCCTGCAATCCTCTTAATTTCTTTGCTCAGCTCTTGCTTTCATTCCCTTGGGTCGAACGCCTGGATCCCATAAGTAGCCCACTATGGCTAAGCCCTCGGCCGCCAATCCAACTGACAGAGGGTGCTTGCGCCGTAGCAACTCACCAGTCTCCCAAGGTGTCCGGGAGAACTACAGAACGTGAGCCCCGCCTTGTGAATTGCTCTAAATGTAAGAAAATGGCAGCTTCCTTGGTCCGCAAACAGCCTGATGTGTACTTTTGGTTGCGGCAAGCCTGTGCAGGCTGACGGTCAGGCAGGAGCTGCTGGCATGCCACCTTTGCAGCTGCAATCCCCCGTTTTAGCTGGAAAGGTCCTGCTTTTGGCAGTTTGTCTCTTCATTTTCTCCGTACAAGTTGTTCAAGGGAATCGAAAGCGCTTAACCCCTGATAGTTTTTCCAGGTGAAAGAGATGTTCTCGCCTTTGCTGGATATGATGGACCTCCCCGTATTGCAGGCGGGTTCCCAAAGGTTTCTTTTGCGGCCAGCTTCAGCCGCAGGCTGAGTCGGCTGCTGCCCTCGCACAAGTGGCGGAGGCACCGGTACATGGACACGTTCCCTGGTCTTTTTCCAGACGCAATGCTTTATCAAGCTCGAAAGTTTAGAAGGCCCAGCAAGCCTTTGCCGCGGACAGAAAGGTAGATATGCCCAGCGTCCCAGGGCACTTTTCGGTAATGTTCCCCCGTGGTTTGCCTGTACATCGATTCTGATAAGCTGGGGGCCCCAACGCCCCAACCAAGGCGGAGCCAGTCTCTCCGGTCCAAACTCAAACCTGGTTGATCAAATGCTTTACTGCCTTGAGTTGTTGCCTTGCACCATGTTTCTCAGAATTCTAAGTCTGCTGCACAGTAGTAGAGGTGCCCGCTCTCCTTCAATTCTGTCCAACACCATGCTAAGCAACAGATGCAGACACTTCAGCTTGCTGCAAGGACCGACCAGCAGCCAAGACGCTTTGCTGTCCAGGCGCATTCAAGGCACGACCAAGCTGGACATGACAGATCACAGAGGTTCTCCTGTTCTCGCACCAGCAAGAGCTGGTCAAGCTATGCCGCTTGCCTTGGAGCATGAACACCTGTGCCAGAAGTTCCACGGCTTGCTGCTGAGTGATGATGCAGCCCAAGCCTCGGATCGACTCGGATCGACTCAAAGCTGAGAAGGCACCTTTTGTCAGCTTTGTGGGGGGGGGGGGGGACAGGGGCGTACTTGTGAAGGCAAGCCGAGCCAACCTTGAAGGGCATGCGGCAAGAGCTTTCGGATGGACCCAGGCTGCGCAATGGAACCGGCCGGACTGAATAGTTGGCTAAGAGCAGCTCATCAAGGTCCATGGAGAGACATCACACACGCCGAGCACGTCGACTTTGGCAAGAGACCATCCGCGCCACGGCTTGCTTGAGCCGCGGGATGAAACTTGTTGATTGTGACGGAGCAACGAAGACGTGAAAATCACATGCTCTAGCAAAGCAGTCAAGGAGAGGTTGAACAGGGGGGATCATGAAGATTCTTCTTTCGCTGAAGAAGCAATTGGTGGACTTGATCGAGGAGCACAGCCAAATGTGTCGAACGTGATGGAGCAGCCAGACATTCCAGAGAAGTCTGATCAAGCTGTTGATACCTGGGTGTCCGTCGGAATTCACATGGTTTGCGACCCCAGCAAGGATGCTGGACATGACAGATCACAGAGGTTCTCCTGTTCTCGCACCAGCAAGAGCTGGTCAAGCTGTTAGTGGACTTGATTGAGAAGCGAGTTGAACGCAACAGAGCAGCGAAGACGCGGAATTCACATGCCGCTTGCCTTGGAGCATGAACACCTGTGCCAGAAGTTCCACGGCTTGCTGCTGAGTGATGATGCAGCCCAAGCCTCGGATCGACTCGGATCGACTCAAAGCTGAGAAGGCACCTTTTGTCAGCTTTGTGGGGGGGGGGGGGACAGGGGCGTACTTGTGAAGGCAAGCCGAGCCAACCTTGAAGGGCATGCGGCAAGAGCTTTCGGATGGACGCAGGCTGCGCAATGGAACTGGCCGGACTGAATAGTTGGCCAAGAGCAGCTCATCAAGGTCCATGGAGAGACATCACACACGCCGAGCACGTCGACTTTGGCAAGAGACCATCCGCGCCACGGCTTGCTTGAGCCGCGGGATGAAACTTGTTGATTGTGACGGAGCAACGAAGACGTGAAAATCACATGCTCTAGCAAAGCAGTCAAGGAGAGGTTGAACAGGGGGGATCACGAAGATTCTTCTTTCGCTGAAGAAGCAATTGGTGGACTTGATCGAGGAGCACAGCCAAATGTGTCGAACATGATGGAGCAGCCAGACATTCCCGAAAAGTCTGATCAAGCTGTTGATACCTGGGTGTCCGTCGGAATTCACATGGTCTAGCGACCCCAACAAGGATGCTGGACATGACAGATCACAGAGGTTCTCCTGTTCTCGCACCAGCAAGAGCTGGTCAAGCTGTTAGTGGACTTGATTGAGAAGCAAGTTGAACGCAACAGAGCAGCGAAGACGCGGAATTCACATGCCGCTTGCCTTGGAGCATGAACACCTGTTCCAGAAGTTCCACGGCTTGCTGCTGAGTGATGATGCAGCCCAAGCCTCGGATCGACTCGGATCGACTCAAAGCTGAGAAGGCACCTTTTGTCAGCTTTGTGGGGGGGACAGCGTACTTGTGAAGGCAAGCCGAGCCAACCTTGGAGGGCATGCGGCAAGAGCTTTCGGATGGACCCAGGCTGCGCAATGGATCCGGCCGGACTGAATAGTTGGCTAAGAGCAGCTCATCAAGGTCCATGGAGAGACATCACACACGCCGAGCACGTCGACTTTGGCAAGAGACCATCCGCGCCACGGCTTGCTTGAGCCGCGGGATGAAACTTGTTGATTGTGACGGAGCAACGAAGACGTGAAAATCACATGCTCTGGCAAAGCAGTCAAGCAGAGGTTGAACAGGGGGGATCACGAAGATTCTTCTTTCGCTGAAGAAGCAATTGGTGGACTTGATCGAGGAGCACAGCCAAATGTGTCGAACGTGATGGAGCAGCCAGACATTCCAGAGAAGTCTGATCAAGCTGTTGATACCTGGGTGTCCGTCGGAATTCACATGGTCTAGCGACCCCAGCAAGGATGCTGGACATGACAGATCACAGCAGTTCTCCTGTTCTCGCACCAGCAAGAGCTGGCCAAGCTGTTGGCGGACTTGACCAAGAAGCAAGAACAGACATGTTGAACGCAACAGAGCAGCGAAGACGCGGAGTTCGTCAAGGATCAGCCTTCCACCGTTTGCCTGGGAGCGTGAACACCTGCGCCAGAAGTTCCACGGCTTGCTGCTGAGTGATGATGCAGCCCAAGCCTCGGATCGACTCGGATCGACCCAAAGCTGAGAAGGCACCTTTTGTCAGCTTTGTGGGGGGGACAGCATACTTGTGAAGGCAAGCCGAGCCAACCTTGAAGGGAATTCATATGGTCTAGCGACGCAGTCAAGGATATTGAACAGGACAGAGCACGAAGATTCTCTTGTTCTCACACCAGCATCACCTGAAGAAGCTATTGGTGGACTTGATTGACGAACGTGATGGAGCGGAGACGGCAAGACAGACCTGACCTGACACGAAAGACCTGGCCGCGCTGTTGATGCCTAGGCGTCCTTAGCATGGACGTGGTCTAGCGATGCAGTCAAGCATGCTGAACATGACGGATGACATCGTCGCACGGGCAAGAGCTGATTAAGTGGTTGATGGACTTGCTAGAGCAACAGGATTAAGCAAGTCGCACACGATGGAGCAGCCAAGACAAGCGGGGAGCCCTGGTCCACCTGCTGATGACTGGGTGTCCATAGCATTCAAGTGCTCTTGCGACAGCATGTGTCACTGCGTGTGTGTGTGTGTGTGTTGCGTCTTCCTGGCTGTTTGCGTGCTTGCGTGTCTGCGTGTCTGCGTGTTTGTGTGTTTGTGCCAGTGAATGCGTCTGCGTATCTGTTTTGCTGTGTGTCTGTGTGTCTATGTCCATGTCTGTGTGTCCGCTTTTGGAGTCAGCCAGTGCCAAGCGGAGCCTCCGTGATGGAGTACCGATTCTGGAGTAGTCACTGGCTCTGACGAGTAGCTCCAGATGAAGGAAAGGTCACATGCCGAGCTTGACGATACTCCTTTTGTTGACTTTTTGTTTTTGGATTCATGTGACTGTCTCATATCAAGTGTGTTTCGGCGCTGCTTCCGAGCTACGGTCAGTGTTGTGAACCCTTCGGGGCACCTGCCTTCGTATCGATACAGACTTGCACCGCTGACTTGCACCACTGACCGTCACACCACTAAATCTTGACCGGCTCCTGACCGAGTTTCAGACTGGGGCCTGGAATCCGACCTCTGGAATTTGGCTTATCAGGTACCAGCGCCCAGGTGATCATTGTGGCACATGCCACGTGCCAATGCCGGGCCGATCTCCGCACCCATGACAAGTCGAGGCACTTCCACCAAAGTTTCGACTTCTCCCACCAGATCTTCACGGGACACTCGCCCTGACGGACACGCATCAGCAACCAGCCCGCGTCTGCATCTACCACCTGTTTGCCAGCTTTCGATGGCACCTGGGATGTTTGCAGCCAGTGCCGAAGATCCAGCTACGAGCGCATCCTCACCGACCAACTCGCTGCTCAGACCCAAGCCATCAGCGCCTTTGGTGACTTTGGTGCTGTCACGATCGTCTACGTCCGCGAGAGACCCACGTGCAACTATATCCACCAGCATCTTCTTTCCCACCTTTGCCCACTACCTTGCCTGCGCCTATCTCCTCGAGGTCGGCTCCATCCACATCCAGTCAGATGCCTCCGCCGCCTCCTCCATCGCAGCTTCCAGCTCGGACTGATTGCTCTACATCTGGGACACCCGCAGGCCAGCATGCCGACTCCTATGTCTTCAAGCGCCGCACCCACTTCGTCAAGTCACCGGCTGCAGGCGATCGGCGTGCGAGCCGACGACCTTCATACCCCAAGTCAGTGTTGGTTTACCAGCCCAGCTCCTCGCTGCTTGCAAGGCAGTGCTGAACAACCTCATCGAGCCCTACGTCACGGCTGGCGTTCCGACCAACAACGCCCAATTAGATTAATTACACCTCGGACACCTTGCCTGAACGCCACCAACATTCCCCCACAGCACGCGCGCTTGGCCCACGTCCTCAGAGACAATCAACATGCTTCTTCCACGCCAGTTGACTCGTCTACGATTTTGCATGTTTTTTCTCCTTCGCCGTACGAGTGAAAATGCGTGTCGTGGTACATGTAAAGAAGCATGGAGGTAGTCACCGCCGGAGCCCAAGATGAGCTGATGCTGAGCCTGGGCTAGACCAGCAAGGCACGGCACGACGCGCAGTACTTCCCCGCCCGCTGAGCTCGTTCTCCCCCACCACCTTGCGGGTCTGGTTGGCCGAGCCTATACAAAGCCCCGCCCATGTTGTTCTGGAGTCACGCATCGAGTATCGGCGGCGTCCACCAGATCCTTCGGCTCTGACGTGTCAATCCATCCTGCAACCAACACTCGGACACCAGAGCGGAGGGAAGAGGCGTGCGTTGAAGCCCTGGACAGCGATGAACGTGAAGAGTGTTCAGAAGGCCAAGAGTTGTGACCCACGGTGTAGGCTAAGTCACGGGAAGCCCAAGTATTGTTTGTGCGATTTAGATACGATTTTGATATGATTGGAAAGCATGGTTTTGTTACGCCGGTTTTACGATATTTTTACGATATGGGATCAGGAAATTGGAATTTGTTTCAACAAAAAAGTAAGCTAATGGAAATCGTATTAAAATTGTGTTGAAATCGTATTAAATTTGTATTAAAACCGTCTTTTTGCGATTTTAATACGATTTCAATACGATTTGAATACGGTTTCTAATGCGATTTTAGCACGGCTTTTTGCACCCCCTGCATGTCCAATGTGTAAAAAATCGTAACAAAAACATAAATGTTACAGGAGTCGTACTGAAATTGTAAATCCGAATCGACAAAAATCGTAATGAAAACATAAACTAAAAATTCAGGAAATGCTAGTTAGGCTGACAGCGTAGGTCACAAGCCAAGAGTTCCTACAAATCCATCGCCAAGAAGCTCAATCGGTTGGTTGCAGATGTTAC